CTCCACTCGCATTTCACCAAACAATTTCAGAACACAACATTATGGATTTCAGTACAAAAATTGTGAGAACCTTTTATCGTTTCTTTGATTAGAGAGCTATCCCGGTACAAGGGTTCAAAAATCACGAGAGAAGGAACACAAAAAAAGATATTGGTAATGTGTTGTTTCAATTCGAACCATTTGTAATTTTGGGAGAGAAGAATCCTATTTTTTTAATCCTAATGTGCAATTCGTGGGTTATATGAATGAGAGTTTGAGTTGGGTATGACAAAATTACATATATATACTCTGACGGCAGTCCCCTTTGAGCGGATGGAGTTTTATCAATTCCGGTAAAAAAAAATACGCGGGAAGTTTGACCTGGGGGCAAAGTGCAACAAAAAATATTTTTTGCACGGAGATATCTTTTTTTTTTAATTTCTGGGGAGGAAAGCACGAAAAGTAGAATTTTCCTGGATCGTATAACGACCGTTAATGGTAATTTATACCGAATAGGATGCAAAAGTTTGGAGCCTTTCTCGGTTATTTTCAGAAGGGGAAACCTAATGGGCGAAGAGCATCGTTTTCCAGCTGTATCCGAAGCTAAAATGGTGCTTACATGTAGCTACCCATCTTATATTGTAATAATACCCGACGCAGAATTGAATGCTCATCCAGTTATACGGTCTGCAAGGGGGGCTGAAAGAACGGTTACAGTAGCCAACGGACGTGAAATTCGAATGTCGGCTGTTGGAATCAGTAATTCCGATATGGCTTTCGCGAATTCGTCTTCGTTTATTTTAAGGTGGGAATTAAGTGGATGCGAAGGGCTGGCGGTTTTCGATGATTCGAAAGGGTATTCGAGCTGGGAAAGGTTTTTGAAATTGCAAAATACATCCGGACGGTGCACCGTGCGCTCCACTATTGTTGGCTTCAATGATTCTCTAAGCAATCCCGATTTGTCTATGTTGCTGGGAGTTACGTAGATCTAACGGTTGCTATCCAGCTGCAGCTTGTTTCTCCGATTAGAGTGAGTCCGGAGTTCAGCTTGTTGTTTTTCAGTCCCGTAGCTAGGTTGAATATCTCGATTATCGGAGGAAGCTGTTACTTTGACGGATTGGTTAACGATACTGAAATTTAGCAAATATAATACAGTTAGGCGAATGTAACATGTATTATATTTGCTGATTTCATAAATATTATTGAAGCAGAGCCACAGCAGCTCACTCCGTGTGACCATGTTCCTCCGCTTTTTT